ACAATGCTCCCTATGTGCCCCTGACTTTTAACATTGACTTCAGTGGGAGTGCATTGCTTTCTCCAGATCTCTGTCTGGACCTCTTTGAAGGGTTCAGGCTGGACTTTCTAATTTTGTTTCCTTTTTTAAAATTTAAATTAGAAACAAGGTTGTTTTACATGTCAATCCCAGTTCCCTCAAGCTCCCATTCTCCTCTGTCCCAACCAAACCCCAGCCCATCCCTTTCCTGTTCCCCAGGAAGGCTCTTCAATGTCTGTCATATCACTTGGAGCAGGGCCCAGGCTCTCCACCCCCCATGTGTCTAGGCTGAGGGAGTATCCCTCTATGTGGAATGGGCCCCCCAAAGTCCATTTGTATACTGGGGATAAATACTGATCTACTACCAGAGGCCCCAGAAACTGCCCAGTCCTCCTAACTAACACCTACATTCATGGGTTCTGGGTTGGTCCAATGCTGGTTTTCCTGCTATCAGACTGGGATGCATGAGCTCCTGTTTGTTCAGGTCAGCTGATTCTGTGGATTTCTCCAGCCTTTGATCATCACTCCTACTTCTCTACAATGGGATTCAAGGAATTTTGTTCAGTGCTTAGCTGTGAATCTCTGCTTCTGCTTCCATCAGCTACTAGATGAAGGCTCTATAATGGCACATAAGATAGTCATCAATCTTGTTATCATAGAAGGTCACTAAGGTAGCCTCTCCACTATTGCTTAGATTGTTTGTTGGGTTCATCCTTGTAGATCACTGGTCATTTCCTTAGTGCTATATTTCTCCTTAAATCTATAATGGCTCCCTCTATTAAGGTATCTTTGTCATAACACCTGGGGTTTTTTTTTTTTTTTCTGTCTTTACCCTTGGAGAATGTACATGTTCCCAAAACCACAGCCTAGACTGCTCTGTAGTAGAGCTTAAAGTCAGGAATGGTGATGCCTCCTGAAGTTCTTTTATTGTATGGGTTGTTTTGGCTATCCTGGGTCTTTTGTTTTTCCATATAAAGTTGATTATTATCCTTTCAAGGTTGGTGAAGAATTGTGGTGGGATTTTAATGGGGATTGCATTGATTTAATGTAGATTGCCATTTTTTACTATGTTAATCCTACCTACCCAATAGCATGGGAGATCTTTCCATTTTCTGGTATCTTCTTTAATTTCTTTCTTTAGAGCCACAAAGTTCTTATTATATAGGTCTTTTACTTGTGTGGTAAGCGTTACACCAAGATACTTTATGTTGCTTGTGGCTATTGTAAAGGGTGATGTTTCTCTGATTTCTTTCTCGTCTCTTTGTCGTCTGAAAAAAGTAGGGCTACTGATTTTTTTGAGTTTATCTTGTATCCTGCTAGTTTGCTGAAGGTGTTTATCAGCTGTAGGAGTTCCCTGGTAGAGTTTATTGGGTCGTTTATGTAAACTATCATATCATCTGCATATAGAGACAGTTTGACTTCTTCCTTTCCAATTTGGATCCCCTTGATCTCCTTTTGTTGTCTTATAGCATTAGCTAGAACTTCTAGTACAATATTGAAGAGATATAGAGAGAGAAGGCAGCCTTGTCTTGTTCCTGATTTTAGAGGAATTGGCTTAAGTTTCTCTCCATTCAGTTTGATGTTGGCAGTTGGTTTGCTGTATATTGCTCTTATTATATTCCTGTTATTCCTGACCTCTCCAAGACCTTTATCATGAAAGGGTGTTGAATTTTGTCAAAGGCTTTTTCCGCATTTAGGGAGATAATCATATGGTTTTTCTTTTTCTGTTTGTTTATATGGTGGATCACGTTGATAGATTTTCGTATGTTAAACCATCCCTGCAATCCAGGTATGAAGCCTACTTGATCATGGTGGATGATTTCTCTGATGTATTCTTGAATTCGGTTTGCCAGTATTTTATTGAGTATTTTTGCATCGATGTTCATCAGTGATATTGGTCTGTAGTTTTCTTTCTTAGTTGTGTCTTTGTGAGGCTTGGGTACCGAGGTTATTGTGGCCTCATAAAAAGAGTTTGGCAATGAATCTTCTGTTTCTATCTTGTGGAACAGTTTGAGGAGTAGTGGTATTAGTTCTTCCTTGAATGTCTGGTAGAATTCTGCACTGAATCCATCTGGCCCTGGACTTTTTTTTGGTTGGAAGGCAGTCGATACTGCTTTTATTTCATTGCGGGTTATAGGTCTATTTAAGTTGTTTGTCTGTTCTTGATTTAATTTTGGTAAGTGATAGTTACCCAGAAATTTGTTCATTTCCTTTGAATTTTCAATTTTTGTGGAGTGCAGATTTTCAAAGTATGACCTGAAAATTGTCTGGATTTCCTCTGTGTCTGTTGTTATGTTGCCCTTTTCGTTTATGATGTTGTTAATTTGCATGTTCTGTCTCTGCTTTTTCATTAATTTGGATAAAGGTTTGTCTATCTTGTTGATTTTCTCAAAAAACCAACTCTTCGTTGCATTGATTTTTTGTATTGTTTTCCTGGTTTCTATTTTGTTGATTTCAGCCCTCAAGTTGATTATTTCCTGGCATCTACTCCTGTGGGGTGAATTCGCTTCTCTCTGTTCTAAGGCTTTCAGTTGTGCTATTGGCTCCACCCTCTGTCCCAGTGCTCAACCAGAGCGGCAGGACCGTGGGTGGGGTAGGGCACAGGGTAGGGGGGGTAGGCTCGCGGTGGGGATGGATGGGGGTGTATCAGAGCTCCAAGGGTGCTCTCGGTGGAGACAGGAGACAGGAGCAGCAGGATCAGGGAACCCAGGGAGTTCGGACCCAGTCATGATTTTAATGAGCTCTGTATTTCCCCAAACCACTGGATGTAAGAGCGGAAGCTTGGGAATGTGAGCCCAGTAGCTTTCCCCATTTACCCCAGAATTTATTGACAAGACAGCAAGAAAAGTTTTTAAAAAATTGCTACAGGAGCCTTAGGAGTTTTTGTTTGAGCCAGTACAGCAAGAGTCTGTGTCGGCAGATTGCAGTGCTGTTTAGATTTGGAGATGGTTTCATTTTCTTTATTTGCAATCATCAGACTCATCAGCTGCTTCTTCATTGTCTGCAGCTTGTGGTTTCTCCACCTCTTTGTTTTCTGTGAGAGTCTTTTGCTGATAGGGTCCGATGAATCGATCTGGGACCCAGATTGGGAGTCTTCATTCTGTGGAAACACAAGCATAGCCTCTTCCAGAGGTGATTAGTCTACCTGGCCCTTTTCATTGACTGGTTAACAGATCCTTCCAGTGAACCAGAGGCTGAGGCTCAGCAGCAGCCTGAGTGTTTCAGTGTCTCTCAGCTGCACTGAGACCCTTATCATTAACATTCATATGATTAAGCACAAACAGAGTATGTGTTAATACATGATGAGGAGTCAAATAAGACGCTGAAGCCTTTAACTTTATGATCTGAGCTTTTAAAAGCTGATGACTCCTTTCCATTATTGCCTGTCCTTGTGGATTATAAGGTATCCCTGTGGATCCTTCAATTTGCCATTTCTGCAGAAACTTTTTATACTCTCTAGAAGTATAAGTAGGAACATTGTCTTGATTTTAAAAGGAACTCCCATGTAAGCAAAACATTTTAAACAATGACTTACCACATACTTAGTGGCTTCTCCAGTTTGTGTAGTGGCCATTAAAAAGCCTGAATATGTATCCACTGTCACACGCATATACTTTAATTTGCCAAATTTGAGTAACATCCATTTGCCATAAATGATTAGGAAGCAGGCCTAATATTAGTTATAGGTAAATATTTTGGGCACACATCACATTGTTTGGCAATTTGTTGAGTAGTCTCTATAGTTAAAGCAAACTCTTTTTTTTTTATTAGACTATTACTATTTTGATGATGAAAGCTGTGTGACTGTTGAGCTAATTTTACCTGAGATAACAGCAACCATTTTTATCAGTCTATCAGTTGACTTATGACTTTTAGCCAGTGGGTCGGGAAAGTTTGAATGAGCTCTTATATGACCCACAAAGCACAGTGACTCTCTTTATAATGAATGACACTTTGAATTTGCTCAAACAATATTTTAACCTGATTATTACTAGTTCCAATGTATGGAACTGAAAGACCCCCACTATGCTTATTGCCTGTTTAAATTGCTCTTGCTAATTTGCCAAGGTCAAACTATGAGAAAAGTACAGGAGGGAACCAGGTGCTGCTCTCATCCAACGCCAACCAGATATCTGTGGTCTGCAGCTTGGACCAAAGCAAGGTCAACAGGACAGTGTCCAGTATGCTGAGATAGTCATAACTGAATTCTTTGTATTCTTTGTGCCCAACCCGAATAACCAACTGTCCTTGGTTAACTACAACTGCTACATTTAGATGAAACAATGAAATCCCTGTAACCATGCTTCTGCTTCTGTAAGCCTGCTTCTTGCCACCCCAACCCTATATAAACTGCCTGAGTTTTAACCTCAGCACGCTCAGTCCCCCGAAAGACTGAAGCGTCCACAGGTACCTGTGTAAACAATAAACAACCTCTTGCACTTGCATCCAGTGGTCTGGTCTCGTCTCTTGGGGGCAAGGGCCTTCCCCCTGACAGGCTCCAAACTCTTGGGGTCTCGGGGGGGGGGGTCTTTCATTGGAGGTCCCACCGAGATTGGAGACCCTTCCCCCTAGAGACTGACACTGACACCCACCGGGAGGTAAGCTGGCAAGTGCTTAATTTCTGTTCTTTGTTGTCTTGTTCATATGTCTTTTACTTGTTGCTTGTTGCGCAGCGATCGGTAATCGGCTAGGCTAGTCGAGTCTGTAGGCGGCTTGAGAAGGAGCTGACGAGCTCGGACTTCCACCCGCCACCCTGGGAGATGTCTCAGGGATCTGGGGTGCCCGATTTTTCGGGGCCCACAACGAGTCCCGGGGATTCGTGGTTTTGGAGGGGCCAGAGGGGGGCTTAAGACCCTCTGTGCCTCCAACTCAGTATCTGGTTTCGGTTTTACGCCGAAGTCGCGCAGCGTGTCTCTGTGCCGGCTGTCTGTGTGTTCTGTTTGCCTTGTCTATTTACTTGCTTCTTTATTTTGAAAAAGACAATGGGACAATCTGTAACTACCCCTTTGAGTCTGACCCTAGGTCACTGGAGCGAAGTCCAGGGCCGAGCGCACAACCAGTCAATGGACGTAAAGAAAAAGAGATGGCAAAACCTCTGTGCTTCTGAATGGCCGACATTTAACGTCGGCTGGCCCCGTGATGGGACTTTCGACCTTGGTATTATCTTGCAGGTGAAGGAACGAGTCTTCGATGCCGGGCCCCATGGACACCCTGACCAGGTGGCCTATATTGTCACCTGGGAAAATCTGCCCTCTGACCCACCCTCTTGGGTGGCTCTCTTTGTCAACTCCAAACCCCCTTCTAAATCTTTCCCCGAGACTGATGTGGCCCCACTTTCACAGGGACCCACTGCTCCTCCTTTGCCTTCTTCTGTACCACTCATTCCCTCTCAGGCTTCTGCCAAATCTCAATTATATCCTGTCCTCAAGAAAGAGAAAACCCCTCACTCCAAATCTATTCTTCCTGCTGATGAGTCTGATCTTATAGATTTACTTTCAGAAGACGGAACCTCCCCCCCTTATCAGCCCCTTACCCAGGGCACTGTAGGTGGCGGTGATGCCCGGCATAGGGGTCCGGACAAACCAGACAGTACCAGTACCACTCCTGCCCTGGACAATGGACAAGAAGACACTACTGCAGACTCCCCAGTAGCTGGCAGACTCAGTGGTCGAAGGGAGACAGCCACAGAAGGAACCTCCCGAGCCTTTCCCCTGCGCCAGACTGCTGGACCAGGAGGCCAATTTCAATACTGGCCTTTCTCGGCGTCCGACCTCTATAATTGGAAATCTAACAACCCCCTCCTTCTCCAAAGACCCTGTAGCTCTCTCTAATCTAATTGAATCCATCCTAATAACCCATCAACCCACTTGGGATGACTGCCAACAGCTTTTGCAGGTCCTTCTAACCTCAGAAGAAAAACAACGTGTCTTCCTGGAGGCGCGAAAGAACGTCTTAGGAGATGATGGGAGACCCACTCAGTTGCCTAATGAAATTGAGGAAGCTTTTCCCCTAAATCGTCCTGACTGGGAATTCAATACTGCTGCAGGTAGGGGACACCTGCGCCTTTATCGCCAGTTACTCATAGCGGGCCTCTGCGGCGCTGGACGCCGTCCCACGAATTTGGCTCAGGTAAGACAGATAACCCAGGGACCAGAGGAAACTCCGACTGCATTTTTGGAGAGGCTAAAGGAAGCCTACCGTATGTATACACCCTTTGATCCTGATAGTAACGAGCAAAGGGGCAATGTTTCTATGGCTTTCATTTGGCAGTCGGCTCCAGATATTAGGACTAAGTTGCAGAGATTAATTTACAAGATTATAGCCTGCAGGATCTGGTAAAGGAAGCAGAAAAGATCTTTAATAAGAGAGAAACACCTGAGGAAAAAGAAGAAAGAGTTAGAAAGTTGCAGGAGGAAAGAGAGGACAAGTTAAAAAAGGAACTAGAAGAGAGGGATCGTGAGAAACCGGAAAGAATTAAACAAAATTCTGGCCACTGTAGCTCAGAATAATCATAGTGCAGGAAGTCAGGAAAGAAAGGGAGAAGGAAGGAGGCCCAGGGTAGATCGAGACCAGTGTGCCTACTGCAAAGAAAAAGGCCATTGGGTCAAAGATTGCCCTAAGAGACCTAAAACTCAGAGGCGTGGAGACGGACTCCCAAGACCAACTCAGCTTCTAGCCCTAGATGAAGACTAGGGCAGTCGGGGCCAGGAGCCCCCCCCCCCCCCGAGCCCAGGCTAACCTTAAGAGTCGGGGGGGCAGCCAGTTACCTTCTTGGTGGACACTGGAGCCCAACATTCAGTTCTCACTGAAACGAACGGGCCATTGAGTACCAAAACAGCTTGGGTACAAGGAGCCACCGGAGGAAAACAATACCGATGGACCACGGAGAGAAAAGTTCATCTCGCATCAGGTAAAGTCTCACATTCCTTTTTGCATGTACCGGACTGTCCATATCCATTACTGGGTCGAGATCTACTGACTAAATTAAAAGCCCAGATCCATTTTGAAGGATCAGGAGCTAAAGTCTCTGGCCCACAAGGGCTCCACTTCAAATATTAACTTTACAATTGGAAAATGAATATAGACTTTTTTGAAAAGCCTCCTGAACAGCAGGAAGGAATGGACTTATGGTTAAAACAATACCCCCTGGCCTGGGCAGAAACAGGAGGCATGGGACTGGCCATACAACAGCCACCCCTAATAATTCTCCTGAAGGCAACAGCCACCCCTGTCTCAATTAAACAGTATCCCATGTCAAATGAGGCATATCAAGGAATCAAGCCTCACATTAAGAGACTATTAGACCAAGGGATCTTGATCCCCTGCCGATCCCCATGGAACACTCCACTTCTGCCTGTAAAGAAGCCAGGAACCGGGGATTACAGGCCAGTCCAAGATCTTAGGGAAGTCAATAAGCGAGTGGAGGACATTCACCCCACGGTGCCAAATCCCTATAACCTACTAAGCACCCTGCCTCCTACTCATCCCTGGTACACTGTCCTGGACTTGAAAGATGCTTTCTTCTGCCTGAGGCTGAGCCCCCAGAGCCAGCCTTTATTTGCTTTTGAATGGAAGGATCCAGAACTGGGCATTTCAGGGCAATTGACCTGGACACGCCTACCCCAGGGGTTCAAGAATAGCCCCACTCTCTTTGACGAGGCCCTTCACCAAGACCTGGCAGATTTCCGGATCAAGCATCCATCTCTGATCCTCCTTGCAGCCACCACTGAACAGGACTGCACAACAGATACTTGCAGAGATGCATGGAACACGGCCTGATCTGTCCGATCAGCCCTTGAAAGATGCAGACTACACCTGGTTCACGGACGGCAGCAGCTACTTGCTAAATGGTGAGAGAGATGGGCAAGGGCTGCAGTGACGAATGCCTCAGAGGTCATATGGGCCACTGCACTCCCCGGAGGCACCTCTGCTCAGCGAGCTGAACTCATTGCTCTGACTCAGGCTCTCCAGATGGCAGCAGACACCTTTTCAGGATGGGTAAAAGCGTTTCCTACCAAACATGAGACTGCAAAAATGGTCACCAAGAAACTATTGGAAGAAATCTTTCCCAGATATGGGATGCCACAGGTGCATCTATGAGCCTTACAGATAGTCCAAGAAGAGGTCTGGAAACCTCTGGCGGCCGCATCCTGGGAGGAACAAAGAACCTCTTGTCAGCCCCACTCTTTCCAGATTGGCAATTCCGTCTTGGTTCGGAGACATCAGACTAAGAACTTAGAGCCCCGCTGGAAGGGCCCCTACACTGTGCTCCTGACAACTCCCAGGTCCCTGAAAGTAGACGGGATTGCTGCCTGGATGCATTTTAAATAGACTGGTACTGTTCAAAAATACACACACACACACACACTTGTCAGTTGTTCAGGCCCTAGTTTTGACCCAGCAGTACCAGCAATTAAAACAAATGAAAACTGAAAAACCATGAATAAAGGGTTTTATTCATTTTATAGAAAAAAGGGGGGAATGAAAGACCCCCACTATGCTTATTGCCTGTTTAAATTGCTCTTGCTAATTTGCCAAGGTCAAACTATGAGAAAAGTACAGGAGGGAACCAGGTGCTGCTCTCATCCAACGCCAACCAGATATCTGTGGTCTGCAGCTTGGACCAAAGCAAGGTCAACAGGACAGTGTCCAGTATGCTGAGATAGTCATAACTGAATTCTTTGTATTCTTTGTGCCCAACCTGAATAACCAACTGTCCTTGGTTAACTACAACTGCTACATTTAGATGAAACAATGAAATCCCTGTAACCATGCTTCTGCTTCTGTAAGCCTGCTTCTTGCCACCCCAACCCTATATAAACTGCCTGAGTTTTAACCTCAGCACGCTCAGTCCCCCCGAAAGACTGGAAGCGTCCACAGGTACCTGTGTAAACAATAAACAACCTCTTGCACTTGCATCCAGTGGTCTGGTCTCGTCTCTTGGGGGCAAGGGCCTTCCCCCTGATAGGCTCCAAACTCTTGGGGTCTCTGGGGGGTCTTTCAGAACTATTTCTAAAACTTGAAGAGCTCTGAAAACACAATGACTTTTAGTATATAAATTAAATGAGTCATGTACTGCAAGTTGAATAACTATTGTAACAGCTTGTAACTCAACTATTTGAGCTGAAGATGGATTTGTCTGTATTACATATTCTTTTCCCATCAGTAAATAACATAAGCTGCTTTTCATCAGAAGAACCACCAGGAGAAACTAACAACATTTTTTTATAGGATTACCTCTTACAATTTTTGGGAATACAAAAGGATGTATTAGTACAAATTGTAATGTCTATAAAGTGATTATAAATTTTTTTTCCAAAAACTGAGCAAAAGCTGATAAACCAAAAATTATAATTAATAAAAGCTTGAAAACTTAGGTCCTAAATCTATTCAGAGAAAAGAAACTTCTAATGATAAAAGAAAATTAACTCCTTAAATCAGGAGTGCCATGGCTGGCGCCTGAGCCCGATCTCAGAAAAGTGGAGGTAACCCCTCTCCGTCTAAGTAAAGATTCCTTTGCCTGTTAATTGCTGGTTGTAAAGGTTTTGAAAATAACCATTAACTTACTATTTGGTATTGTAAGACCCTCAGAATGAGGAGTCTTCCAGGTTCGGTCGATACCCCAAGAACTCAATGTCCAGTCCAGTTGCTTCAAACGCAAGAGGCTTTAATGAACAGGAAACGTTTGCGCAAACGGGCTTCTCCAGCAAGCAGGCTAGGAAGAAGCCCCCTCCCCTGGGCCCAGGTGTTTTTAAAGGCAACCCCACTAGCTTAGGGAGGGGGTGGGACCCTCTGTCCATTGAGTATGTGACCCTTGGTGGCCGGATGGTCTATTATTAGGGTCAGCAGACCTTAGGGCCTCAGGTGTGCTAATTAATCTTGTCTGGGCAAACCAGAGTTACAGCTATCTCTTTGTTTCCTAAGGACCCTATTTACCACCTGCTGACTCACAGGAAAGGAGGGGCAGTGTGAATTCTTCTTATCTCAGGGCCTTGTGAGAGGAAGCTGGCAAATATTGGTTTCCAGGTTAGTCCATCATTAACATTACTTTTTAGGTCTTTCAGTATAGGGAACATGTATTATGCTTGGTTCTCTACCCAAATATCTCTTTAGACAGCATATAGCATTTTGTACCATACAAGCTTTAAAACAAGGATTAAACATTTTGACTGAGGAAACAGGTAAATGCAACCATATCAATGGTTCTCTTTGCCATAAGACAGAAAGAATTTGGACTATGCTGTGTGGGAACTACATAAACCTCCCATGGTTTTGCATAGTCAATATAGTATATCCGTTGATGCTGGATTGCATCCTCCGATTGTAAGAGAACTTGTCTACTCTCTTCAGTTAACTGTTTAGGTGAATTGGGATCACTATCTCCTTTTAGGATATAACTTAAAGGTTTCAAATCACCAGTAGGTGCTTTTAAAAAAAAATGATGTGACCATTGGAATATTTCCTAATAACTTCTGAAAATCATTCAATGATCATAAGCTATCTTTTCTAATTTCTAATTTTTTGAGGCCTAATTTCTTTAGGATGTAAAGTCCCAAATACTTTTGAAAACTTTTTCAACTCTGACCTGTTAAGCTTTCATTAGCTGACCTGGTCTCATTTGCATTTTCACTGACACCTTTGTAGGTGGGGGTCTAACATGGCTGCAGTTCCCTGAGGCTTTTTCACAATAGCTGACAAGGTCTCATTTGCATCTTCACTGAGGCCTCCTTTCAATAGCTTTTCTCAAATCTTACATTAACCTCCATTCTTTCAATTTCTTTTATAACCACCAAAATTCAGGAAGATTTCTGTATTCTCTCCTCTGTTAAACTCTTTTAAGCCATCCATATAGATTTCTCTGGCTCTCAGGCCGTTTTGGCCTTGACCATTTCCTACTGTTTCACTCTGCAAGATAGTCATGGGAGATGCAGCTCTCCAACCTTGATGTCTCTCTCTGTCTCTCTCTTAATCTCAAGCAATTCAAGTAGTACCTATTGTTGGGATTCACACATTCACATACTCACAATCACACTTCAGACACTCAGACACTCACATGTGTGGCCACACCATACATACAGAGCATGCATTCATATTTTTCAGCTCTCCTTTTCTTTAGACCAAGATTAGTTTGTTGAAATAAAACATCCTTAATTGAAATCTCTTATAATGCAGCTGTTATAGATAACCTTTGAACTATGAGCATCCAAAATCTGAACAAATTTCAATAAATTCACAAGTTTCTGACAGGCTGCATTAATTTTTCCATACACAGCAGCTCATAAGACTGCAGGCCTTTAGGTCCAGTCCTGCCTTTGCTCACTGGGCCTGGGTTTACCCCCTGCAGTTTATCTGTGACTGTAGCTGCTTGAAAAGTAAATAACCACCATTGTAGCAAATCTGAGTTCTTGGCACCCACAGTTCCTGGGGACCTGGTGCATATGCAGGGCCTAATCTTTGCTTCCCTAAACCCAGCAGCAGCATTGGGGGAGGGCAGTAGGGCAGTAGGGTTTGGAATTCTCCTTGAGGAGAGGCTTAGGCAGAATGACCTGCTGCATTTGCCAAGCAGAGGAAGGAGCAATGTTAGGGAAGACATGATAAGAGTTCTGCAATATTTGGCCACCTCCTCCTCAGGGTCAGCCTCTTTCCCTGCAGAGAGGTTGTCTGGGTCTCTCTTTCTTTTCCTTTTCTTCCTTTGCATTCCTTTTGTTTCTTTTCCTCCCCTTTTTTACTCTTCCCTTTAATGATACTGCCTAACTTTATCGTGCTGACTCCCTTTCCTACTCTTTCCTTCCCATTTATAACTTTGCCTCGCCTTTTTATTCCCCTTTCCTTCTGTTACCTTCCTTTGACTTATATCGCCTTGCCTTCCAATCCCTTCCTTTACCTTCATAACTCTTCTTTTCCCTTGCTTTTACTTGCCTTGCTTACCATTTTTATATTTCATTTCCTTACATTTCCTTTAATTTTCTTACATTCCCTGCCATTTTCATCCTTTCACTTCCCCTTTTTTTTTAACCTTCATTTGCCTTTCCTTGATTTACCTTGCCTTCCATTTTTATTTCTTTTTCTCTTTCTTTTTTTTTTCTTTTACCCTCTTTCCCATCCATTTTCTTCTTCTATTTGGGGGGGGGGCTGAGAGGCTGCCCCTTTACTAGGTTTTTGATTCCTCCTTAGGACTTCCTTCAATTTGAGTCCCATTTTTGGAGAACTTGGAATGACACTCACTCCTCCAATGCCTTCCCTTTTTACATCTTGGGCAAATGCCAGGAATCTTTTTAGGACTTCCACCCTGTCCTCCCTTATTACAGTCTTTTTTCATATGGCCTGATTCTCCACAATTAAAACAATTGGGGGCTGGATTCTTACCATTGCCTCCCCCCATATGTCTGTTTCACAAAAGCAGAGAATTTCTTCCCTTGCATAGGGGCTGCATAAGCCATCCCTTGCACTATAGCATGAGAGGCATCTGCACATACTTTTATGTAATCTTGTATTGACCCTGTTTTCCTTATGGGCCTGATTAAATCTTTCCATAATGTATTAGCATATTCCCATACTAATTGTTTTAAGTAAAACTCTTTTGAGGTGGCATCAGACACTTTTAAACATTTTTCTGCTAGCATATGTGTCAAGACTGATATGAACATTTTCTGTTCCTCTGAGCCCAAGCTTATCATCTTAACTTCCCAAATTACTCACCCTTAACAAGCCTATCTTCACTGGCGGGACTGCAGTTCCCTGGTGAGCGCCTATCCACTCCTTGAAAAAAAAAGAAAGAG